CCCACCCCCCCGTGTAATATATCCTTGCTACATTCACCAGATTCGTCTATGATTCTATAACTACAAAAGATCACCCGAAATAGTTCTCATTAGACTCGATTCCACGGCACAGAAATAAAGCAAACAGACTGTGAGAATGAACTGAAATTAACATATATTAGGGACTAAACGATCTGGTTCCATAAAATAAGACACGCGCCCTTAAATTTACATTAACTGTAACCTTTTTCTTTAATAGCTTTCAGACTTTTGTGATTAATTCGTCTCAAAGCCATTTTTCTTTAGCAACTGTTCCAAAGCGTTCCACTAATTTCGAATAATAAGAATTATGCTAACGCACGAGGCAAAGAGAAGAAAAGAAAACAGAATAGATGCTTGACTAATGATATAGACATTGACTCTTGTATATGCTGTTTAATGGCAAAGGACCTTCGAACAATTAGTGTAATTTTCTCGAAGTTATTCATTCAGTAAAAGTGACTATGTATAGTGAATCTGTCATTGCTTTGTATACGCAACAAAGAGTCAAGAACATTGCCTGGTTGGTTAAAGCCATTGTAAAAGGGATAAATAAATTAATAAATTCAATAAAAAATAGCTAACAATATGCCATCGATGACCATTATTGTAATTGTTGGAACACATTTCTTTTCAATGAAATATATTTACAAATTTAAAAGATTACCATGATTTGTTAAAATTTTGATTTTACAGAACCCTTCATTACCACAATAAAAAGAAAAACCCTAAGAAAAATGGTTATAATTTTGTTTCTGACTAACAAGTTTTAAGTTAAATGCTTACTTTATACAATCTGTTTTTTAACCAGTATCACCCCATGTAAGGCAATAAAGCAATTAGAATTAGGAACAGAAATATTAATAATGAGCGGGAAGAGGAAAGAGTGATCGGGAGGATAGCGATTGGAATTGCATTTAAACTTTTGCAGACTAAAATTGGCTGGAAAGCATGGAGCCGGAGTGGAGTTCCACAAGCGAGAATTGCGAGGAAAGAAACTGTTAACATAAAACATACGGTTAGATCTAGCCAGCTCAACTATAAATTGATGAGATCTTGATGTCAGTCTATACTGCACAACTTAAATTCATAAAGTCTAAGTACCATAGCGAAGACCTCATCCGAACAATTACTATTGAAAGTATGTATAGAAAAGACACACAGAGTCAACCTTACGGCGGTGGGAAAGGGACTGATGCCGAGCAACCAGATCTGGACCAATAATATTGCTGATTCTTCTTTGGATTTTATCTAAGAACTTAAGGTAAATAGCAGCGGCACCAGGCTATATGTGGCAGCAATATTTTAAGCATGGACGAATGGTAGACTTATCGATAAATAAATGAACAAGATTCGGTTTAGCTAATCTGAGGGTCAAAAATGATAATAATAATATTAACGTTTAACCGTGTTTCCTTTCTGAGAAATCAATCGACATTCATTGAAAGAACAGTGTTATTGCAGGTTGAAATTTATATAATCTTAAAAGAGCTTTTCTTTCCAGGAAAATATGTTTCTTAAACCCAATAACTGTCATCACTCTCTCTCTCTGTCTAGTATTAGTAAGGGCTCCACTCCAATATTTTTGTTTGAAGTCGTGTGGAATGTCAACATTTTAAATTTTTCTCCCCGTAATCTATCCTTCAGATCTACAAATCAACAATTCGCCCTTGCATTGCTGCCATATATGGTCTGGAACCCCTTCTGTTTGCCTCGGGGTTCTTGATAGGCTCTAGAGGCGGATATGCAATATAATTGGTCCTGTTCTGGCATCTCGTCTACAGTCACTCTCTAACAGACGCACCGTCGCCTCTCTCTGTCTTTTTTACAAATACTTTCATGGCAATTGCTCCGAGGAGCTGCATTCGCTGGTTCCCAGACTTCATTTTTACGAGGCTGGCATACCGCTCTCACTCTTTCACTGTCAACCTCCTAAATGTAGCCGTCTCTTCTACTCCAATAGCTTCATGTCTAGCACCTCTTGCCTGTGGAACTCCCTTCCCTATTCCAGTTTCCCTGAGAGCTATAATCTTCAACTATTCAAATCTAATGTTAATCGACATCTTCACTTACCTTGATGTATCCACTATCCTACTCCTCCTCCTTTCCTCTATCACTCCTATCGGATCTTGCTCCAAATTTTCTGTAACCCCTTGCGTCCTAGTGGCTTCCCGCCTTGCTTGGGGTGATAAGCTTAAAAAAAAGTATTATCCGTTATAGTTGTTGCTACTGTCGAAAACCTTCAGGTGACATGGTTTTTATTTGGTAAAATTGCGATTTTTTAGCGCCAGCCTATTAGATCTGATGAAGTTTAGTCTTCTTTCAAACCTACCGGGTCCATTCTTTTGAATCTATTTTTAATAATTCACCCGTGAAAAATGTTGTATACAGCTAACAGTAAGGATATTTTTGAGTGAGTTGGGATGTTATGCTTAGCATGCGGTTATTTTAGAACATGACTCTGGAGTTCTCTGGTAAATATTTTGATTTTTAGTAACTTCTTGTATCTTTCTATATTTATGAGACGAAGTATTGTAATTATTTACATTATTTACATTGTTCTGACTGTTGTCCACATCTTTATTGTCATGTTCGCGACGTTTCGGCCGTTGTACGCTCCGGCCTTCTTCAGGATCAGTTTATATTTCTGAGACGAAGTATTGTCATTATTTACATTGTTCTGACTGTTGTTCACATCTTTATTGTCATGTTTCAGACATTTCGGCCTTCGTACGCTCCGGCCTTCTTCAGGTGATAGGAATTTCTTACTGAACCTGTTATTTCGTCCACTGGGGTACATAGATCCACATGCCATGCCTCTTTCGGATGTCTCAGTTATCCCCCTCTCTACGTTTGTTGTCTACCACTGACGTAACCAGGTATTGAACTCTTTGGTTGAAGTCACTAGATTCAACCAACGCTTTTATCCACTAGGCCATGTATCCTCATTTATCTTTATTGTCCTGAACATGACAATAAAGATGAGGACAACAGTAAATAATGTAAACAGTAACTTGCGATGAAGGGCAAAACTACCCCTAGAGCAACCTCTTTCATACTCCATTTCATTGTCTCCTCTACTAAATTTGCTATGCATCCTGGGTAACACAATAAACTACATCCGCGTCCCGGGTAAGACGATAAACTACATCCGCGTCCTTGGTAAGACGATAAAATACAACCAACAGCAAGGCTTGTGCTCAGGAACCACCTCTAAATTGCTGGTGTTCCCACATCCACCTTGACTCAGGGTGGTAGCACCAGTTAGGGTCCCAGCTATGGGCAAATAGTTAATCCCAAACTGTTCAAAACACTATGAAAGTGTGAAAATAAGTTTTAACACTAGCAATACATTTTTAAGAAAATAAACATTAGCAGCAATACATTTTTGTAAAAAATATTGCCAGCAATATGTTTTTGAAAAAAATTTACGACAATAAAAATCTTGTCGGCACTAAATAATCCATTGAGATTGATATGCCCTAAAAAAATCAAACCAAACAAAAATTTGCTATGAGTTTAATACTTTTTTCTAATCCTTTCACTCCAAGCAAGGCAACAAAGCCACTAAGATGCAAGGGGTTGCTGAGTGTGAAAGGATATAAGAAAAATAAAGCATTTTTAAGAAGCAAGAACAATGAAAGAACAGAAATTAAGAAGTCAGAAGATAACCGTTGAAATTGCATTTAAATTTTTGAAGATCAAATTTAAATGGAAAGCAAGAAGCCAGATGAAAAATTCCACAAGCGAGAAGAGAAACTTCCGGTTACATCTAGTCATTTCAACTGTGAAAGAATGAGACTTTGCTTCCAATGTAGTACTGCGCTTGAATTCATAGAGTTTAGGTAGCGTAGAGGAAAGTCTATCAGAACAGTTACCATGGAAATATTTCTAGAAAAAGCAAAGAGAAGCTACATCACGGCGGTGGGCAAGTGACTGAAGTCGAGATTCTAGGTCAGGAATTAAAACAATCGTTCTCATTTCCAAAGTATAACACTTGAGAAAGGCTGGAGCGTACAATGGCCGAAACATCGTAAATAGAGTAATAAAGATTAAGACAACAGTCCAAATGATGCAAATAGTGTAAATAGTTACATCATCTCAGAAATACAGACAGACGTTAAAAAAGGGGGAGTTTACTCTCATAAAAATATTTCTAAAAAAATTTATGAGACTTTCATGCAAAGAGTTTTTATTTAGTCTGCTTCCGCAATTGCTCATTATTCCTTTTTGTCTTGATAGATATGGTTCGTTTATTAAGGCATAGCCCCAACGAGAATTGAGTCGAAAGCATTAACGAAATCTGTTTTAATCCTTCCCTACTAAGCCAAAGCGAGAAAAATGGAGGTTGGATTATTACTGCACAAGGCATTGACTGAAGATAGAACCACACTATCCTAACACCGATCAGTGAAACTAGCTCTCTGGCAAAATGCGTATAAACACACACGCACACACGCACTTATTTAGCAGTTGCACAATAATGAGTGTGCGGGTACACGCTTTGGCACGTGACTCCCTCGGGATGGTCATGTGCTGCTTCCGGTAAAAATGGTCACGTGTCCGTCGTGGATTTTGCGCAGAGTGCTTATCCGGTCACGTGTCGATCAACGATTGCATTTGCCTCCCGATTTAATTGCCATACCTTATATGGTTATGTTAGAGCACGTGACCGACAGAGCTTTAAAGAGTAGACGTGCATAAGGTCCCTTAGGTGGCCTCTATGCGTTAATGAGTGTAAAAATAAAGGCAAGTAGAAATGGAATAAAAAATGTTTTATTCAATATATGAAAGCAAAGGAGGAAAATGCGTTGGCAGATGGCGGGGTCCGAGAAAAGAGGTTGTGAGTTAAATAGAGGGGGAAATGAAAGTTATAAGAGACAGGCAGTAGGGTTTGTTTTTTTTATTATTTCAAAAAGAAAAGAGACACTGATTCAAAAAAAGGGAGACCCAAAAGAAAAGTAAAGAATGGCATAAGGAAACTAATGAAAGAAAAAAAGAGAAGATAAGAAAACAAAGTAGTTATAGAAGTAAAAAGAAAGAAAGAAAGAAAGAAAGAAAGAAAGAAAGAAAGAAAACAAAGAGGAAAATGAAAATAATGGAAGCATTGAAAGTAACCGAAAAAAAGAAGGAAAGAAAGAAATGAAAATACAAAGAAAGAAAGAAAGAAAGAAAGAAAGAAAGAAAGAAAAAAAAATAAAGAAAGAAAGAAAAAGAAAGAAAGAAAAGGACAATACAATAACAGAATGATTGAAAGAAAAGGAAATACAATAATGAAATTTTTGAAAGAAAGAAAGAAAGAAAGATGAAAATGAATTAATAACAGAATTGAAAGAAAGAAAGAAAGAAAGAAAGAAAGAAAGAAAGAAAGAAAGAAAGAAAGAAAGAAAGAAAAGGAAAATAAAAGAAAGAAAGAAAAGGACAATACAATAACAGAATGATTGAAAGAAAAGGAAATACAATAATGAAATTTTTGAAAGAAAGAAAGAAAGAAAGAAAGATGAAAATGAATTAATAACAGAATTGAAAGAAAGAAAGAAAGAAAGATAGAAAAAAGAAAGAAAGAAAGAAAAAGAAAGAAAGAAAAGGACAATACAATAACAGAATGATTGAAAGAAAAGGAAATACAATAATGAAATTTTTGAAAGAAAGAAAGATGAAAATGAATTAATAACAGAATTGAAAGAAAGAAAGAAAGAAAGAAAAGGAAAATAAAAGAAAGAAAGAATGGAATAGTGGAAGACTTGAAAGAAACTGAAAAGAAAGAAAGAATAACAAATATCTGAGAAAAACAAAAACGAAAAGTAAATAAATGATAGAAAATTACAGTAAGAAAGAAACAATAATGGACAAAGCATAAAAAGAAAAACATAAGAAGAATGAATGAATGAATGACATGTGCATAAATTGCAAAGCTACATGAAGACGTACACATAACAAAGAAAAAAGAAAGAAAGAAAGAAATGAAAAGAGAAGAAAAGTAAAAGCAGAGAGAGATGAGAAAAAGAGTAAGATAAAATAAATGATGGCACAATAAAATAGGAAAAGACAAAAGAGCAAATGAAAAAAAAATAGACATAATCAAAAGTGAAAAATCTGTAAAAAAAACTCTGAACAAAAAAAAAAACAAACAATAGAAAAATAAACTAGTTCTTTCAGAGAAAAGGAAACATGCTATTACAAAAAAAAGAGGTGGATGAACAAAGGTGGATAGTCGAGCATATGATGAGAGAGAATCATTAAAAGAAAGAATTTGAAAGCTTTTATGTTTATCATCTCGTTTTTTATATATCAAATTTCAGGAGCTGAGGGGGAAAAAAAAATTAAACACAACGTAGTGACGAGGTGTGTTGTGGAACGTCTGCATGCGACGCGTGTCTCCCTCCAGTCACAACACGTGGCAAGTGACGTTCAAGTGTGATCACTCACGCGTCAGTGTGTGTTGAATCTTTCTTCGCCCACTAAATAATAATAATAATAATAATAATAATAATAATAATGACGTCTAGAGACTGTATGTCAAAAGAAACAATGTTGACTCCCTAGTATTGACGATTGTGTTGCTCCAGCTATCAAAGGACGTTAGGACTTCATAAATTCACCTAATGAATGATTGATTATGGGACCTAAATGTAACAGCAGAAACGAACAGAGAAGTGTGGAATCAGAAAAATCCAAAATGAAGGGGAAAATCTAAAAAGAAAAATATCGAAAAGATAAAATATCTTTGCGAACACATCGGGTGGGGGTGTTAAAGAAAAGGGACTATAATCAATATGACATTGACATGGTTGTACAGAGGGCATTTGAAGAGAGAAACTGAATTCTTTAATAGCGCTCACGAATAATTCTATTGTAACCACAAACGGTAACTAGGGAGTTTTATGGAAAATGCATAACAGCGTATATGCCAGATTCCTCTACAAGTGCTTACTGACACCATGTAACCCAATACTACTTGCTGCATGATCGGGTCATCCGATACGAAACCCGGCTTTTCTGGTGAAGAGAGTGGCTAAACACCCAGCAGGATTAAAAAGAACAAGTTAGATGAATGTTCATGTAGGAGCAATGGTCATATTGTAAAATGGGGTAGACGTCGAATCGAGAAGAGAGACTTTGGGTATGATATGACCTGGAGAGAGATGGACTCCGCCAGTGCGACTTGCCCAAGATACGCTAAGCTTTCAACCGAGGTATGTGGAGTGAACTGGTCAGGTGCTTAGCTGCAGTGTGACCCTACGACCACACTCGGTCATGAGGCTGATCACTGGAACTACAAGTAAACTTATACTTACAATGCGTATATTTTTTCACCTTGGGAGAAATAAAGTCCATTACTTAATAACCAGTTTTTCTACATAGGGTATATGTGGAGGTACTGGGTTAAGAGCAGACACTTAAAGAAAACAGCAGGAATTCCTTTCAACAAAGTACAGATAAGCGTGTTGATAGCAGACACGGAAAGGAAACTCCAAAACTCCTCCAGAAGGCAGAGGCAGAAATCTAGGAGAAAGGAGTATAAACTACAAGAAGACAGAATGCATGGTTTTCAGCAAAAGGATGAACTCAAAATGCAAATTATAAATCGGGGATAATAAAATCAAACAAGTGCAAACATTTAGATATCTGGGAAATGTTCTAAAAAAGGTACGACACTGATAACCGAAAACGTGTTAGAATGTCCAAAGACGTACTCCAAAAGCTAAATAGAAAAATGTCTTTAGAAACAAAGAAAAGAGTACTGAACTGTTACATGATATCTGTTCCCATATATGGCAGCAAAGACTGGACAGTATCCTCAAAGATGAAAAAAAAAAAAAACTTGAAGCAACAGAAATTCTACAGAAATATGCTGAGGATACCCTGGACAGAACATGTGAGCAACGACGAGGTTTTGGAGAAAATGGAAACAAAAAGGTAACTTATACTTAACATCAAGGAGAGGCAACTAAATTTCTGGGGTACTTAATAAGAAAGGAGGACTTTAAAAATCTGATACTCACAGGACAGACTGAGGTAAAGAGAGACAGAGAAAAGCAGCGCGTAACATACATGATGAGCTTCAGTAAATGGATCCGCCTTTTCGATTCTAATCATCCGGCATTTCGATTCTAATCATTCGGCATTTTGATTCTAATCATCTGGCTTTTCGATTCTCATAACCCGGCATTTCGATTCTAATCATCCGGCATTTCGATTCTAATCATTCGGCATTTTGATTCTAATCATCCGGCATTTCGATTCTAATCATCCGGCATTTCGATTCTAATCATCTGGCTTTTCGATTCTCATAACCCGGCATTTCGATTCTAATCATCCGGCATTTTGATTCTAATCATCCGGCTTTAAAATTCTAATCATCCGGCATTTTGATTCTAATCATTCGGCTTTAAAATTCTAATCATCCGGCATTTTGATTCTAATCATCCGGCTTTAAAATTCTAATCATCCGGCATTTTGATTCTAATCATCCGGCTTTAAAATTCTAATCATCCGGCATTTCGATTCTAATCATCCGGCATTTCGATTCTAATCATCTGGCTTTTTCGATTCTCATAACCCGGCATTTCGATTCTAATCATCCGGCATTTCGATTCTAATCATCCGGCATTTTGATTCTAATCATCCGGCTTTAAAATTCTAATCATCCGGCATTTTGATTCTAACCATCCGGCATTTCGATGCTAATCATCCTCCATTTCGACGTTAATCATCAGGCTTTTCGATTCTAATTATCTGCCATTTTGATTCTACCGATCCGGCATTTCGTTTCTAATCATCCTGTGCCTCGATTCTAATCATCCGGCTTTTCGATTCTAATCATCCGGCTTTTCGATTCTAATCATCCGGCTTTTCGATTCTGATCATCTGGCTTTTCGATTCTCATAACCCGGCATTTCGATTCTAATCATCCGGCTTTAAAATTCTAATCATCCGGCATTTTGATTCTAATCATTCGGCTTTAAAATTCTAATCATCCGGCTTTTCGATTCTAATCATCCGGCTTTTCGATTCTAATCATCCGGCATTTCGATTCTAATCATCTGGCTTTTCGATTCTCATAACCCAGCATTTCGATTCTAATCATCCGGCTTTAAAATTCTAATCATCCGGCATTTTGATTCTAATCATTCGGCTTTAAAATTCTAATCATCCGGCATTTTGATTCTAATCATCCGGCTTTAAAATTCTAATCATCCGGCATTTCGATTCTAATCATCCGGCATTTCGATTCTAATCATCTGGCTTTTCGATTCTCATAACCCGGCATTTCGATTCTAATCATCCGGCATTTCGATTCTAATCATCCGGCATTTTGATTCTAATCATCCGGCTTTAAAATTCTAATCATCCGGCATTTTGATTCTAACCATCCGGCATTTCGATGCTAATCATCCTCCATTTCGACGTTAATCATCAGGCTTTTCGATTCTAATTATCTGCCGTTTTGATTCTACCGATCCGGCATTTCGTTTCTAATCATCCTGTGCCTCGATTCTAATCATCCGGCTTTTCGATTCTAATCATCCGGCTTTTCGATTCTAATCATACCGCATTTTATCTCTAATCATCCGGCTTTTCGATTCAATCATCTGGCTTTTCGATTCTAATCATACCTCATTTTATCTCTAATCATCCGGCATTTTGATTCTAATCATTCGGCTTTAAAATTCTAATCATCCAGCTTTTAGATTCTAATCATCCGTCATTTCGATTCTAATCATACCGCATTTTATCTCTAATCATCCGGCTTTTCGATTCTAATCATCCGGCATTTTGATTCTAATCATCCGGCTTTTCGATTCTAATCATCCGGCTTTTCGATTCTAATCATACCGCATTTTATCTCTAATCATCCGGCTTTTCGATTCTAATCATCCGGCATTTCGATTCTAATCATCCAGTTTTTTTATTCTAATCATCCGGCTTTTCGATTCTAATCATCCGTCATTTCGATTCTAATCATACCATATTTTATCTCTAATCATCCGGCTTTTCAATTCTAATCATCCGGCTTTTAGATTCTAATCATCCGGCTTTTCGATTCTAATCATCCGGCTTTTAGATTCTAATCATCCGTCATTTCGATTCTAATCATCCAGTTTTTTGATTCTAATCATCCGGCTTTACGATTCTAAGACTGAGGGAAAGAGAGACAGAAGAAAGCAGCGTGTAACATACATGATGAGCTTCAGTAAATGGATGGTAGAAATCGGTTTGGGAGAAATAAAAAAGTCAAAACTTATTAAAGCGCTACAATGTGGAGGGCCATCATAAATTGTAAAACGAATGCATGTTGTTAGTAAGATAGGATATAGAAGATAGAAGATAAGATGTACAAATTAGAGACATCAGATTCCAGCAATTACAAAAAGTTTACAATCTGGAAAGCGTTAGGCAGGTAATTTGAGACAGAAAGCCGAAGGGCACATTGAAATAGCAAAAGTCGTCTAACAAAAGCTAAACAAGAAACAGGAAAATATCGTTACAAACAAAGAAAAGCGTGCAACGTAATATCTTTCTTTCTACAGGGTACCCCACAAAAAACAGGAAATTTTCGATTTACTATATGATGAAAAAAAAAATTAACATATAAAAGAAATAACTATGTATTTTACTTTATGAATGAAAAAAAATTAACATAATTTTTAACCATTTGTTGTTTCAGGACGTTATCAAATTTTCAACGTGAAGTGATTGTTCCCTTTAAGAAAGAACATCCAAATTGTGGACTGAAAAAATACCAAGAA